CGAAAAAGTTTCTTTCTTAAAATCATCACAAATACCAGCTACAAAGTTAATATGTTGTGAACGATAATCGTAATCATTGTATCTTTTTTGCAGATCGAGAAAAATTTTTAGAACGAGTAATTTCAGTTTTTGCGGGACCGATCTAAAACCCGACTTACCACCTCCTTGACCTTGACCTCCTCCCATATTTCAGTCAAGTAGAGACGTTACATAATTTTATTCCCTATTCTCCAATAAATGTTACCATTAAATGATAATTTGTGGACTTGCAATTATCTCTTTTTACATAGTGTTAAAATTGCCGTTAGGTGGGATGATTATTACAGTAGAATCTGGACTGTCAATACAACATCTGGTCTTAGTTTAAAAAAACTGTAAATTATATATCTTTACCTAACACCAATATAACTTAAATCTATAGGTACCGTGAGCAATGAGCTCACTAAATGATACCCCGCCTCCCATATGAATATAATGGCAGTGTCTCCATGTTTTGCTGTGGGGAACCCAAAATATGTGTCTGGTCAAAATGTAAAACAAGAGATGCACAATGGCAATATGTAATAAAGATTCTTTGAAAGTTTCATTAAGTTTCATTCAATGGTATGCGAGGAGTTGCGGATATAAGATGGGTACCTCAAAGCGTAACAGACGGACGGACGGACATACCGATTACTATATACCCATTGCTTTTCAAGCGGGAGGTATCAAAATCAAATGAAATACTGATTTGAATATAAGGCAATTGCTAAGCTGTTTGAAGATACAATACGGATGATCAACAGCAGTTTGACGAAAAGAAACATACTTGAAAGGAAAAAACTAGAGGTACTGTGAGCAGTGAGCTCACTCAATGATACCCCCGCCTCCCATTTGAATATAATAGCAGTGTCCATGTTTTGCTATGGGAAACCCAAAATGTGTTTCGGATCAAAAAGTAAAATAAGAGGTGCACAATGGCAATATGTAATGAAGATTTTATGAAAGTCTCATCAAATTTCATTCAGCGGTTTGAGAGGAGTTGCGGATATGAGATGGGTACCAAATACATAACAGACGGACATCGCGAGTACTATAAGCCCTGCCACTTTTCAAGCTGGGGTATAATTTAAACGGGGGTATAATGAAATAAAGTTTCGCAATAATAAAAAATAAAAACGCAATTGTCCACCTTAAAACCCAACAAATATTGAAACAGGATAAAAAAATCATACATGAAATAGAAAGATTTTCCTGACCACGAAAATTCATGCCTAATCAGATTAATTTATTTGATTTTCAATTACTTATTATGATAATGATCAGCCATTTTCTTAATGTAAAGAAGAAAAAATCTGTATGGAATAAAAAAAACTGAAATGAAAATTATTTTATGTTAATGAATGTAACATGCGTTTAATTGCTAGATAACTACTGCAATCAAACACTTCATTTTCTGCCATATAATAATTATTAGAGTAATTGAATATAATTCTAGACTGAATGACGCCCACGGCAGTTTTCCTGTCATATAAAATGGATAAACTATGCAGGAGTAACATTGTTGCAGCAGATGAAGAAAACCTGTGTACCATCCAACTATAAAAGGAAGACAATGGCGGTAACATTTTTATTACACTTTCAAATGTGCATACATAATTAAAAAAATAGTTTTATATTTTAAATTAAAGAACAAGCACAGTTCTACTATATTTTTACCCGTTTTAGGTCTTTGCTCTGGTGTTGATTGCTTTCTTGGTTCAGTTGTCTGGAGTTAACGGATGTAGTTGTGTATCTACTGATCCTCAAACTAAATACTGCAATTCTGAATACGGTAAGTACGAGGGTTGATCCGCAAATTCGTGGAATTTCTAAAATTTTAAATTTTCGATGAAAGCAAACAACAGGTATATTTATAATAAAGAGTCATAATGCTACAATATTGGAAAATTTCACCACTTTCCAGTTACCAATAAGGTCACACGAGCTTTCTGAAAATTGAAAGTTATGAAACCCGGGGGAGACTTCGACATTACGTAAGTTAGATATGTCACGTTATAGAAGCATCTCACCCTAATGTCCAGTTCGAATACGTGACTCTTCAAAATGCTGCCCTTTTCTCCATTTTTTCTTTCTAAAAAAAGCCTGTGTATCCTCTCGCACCAACTAATCTTTATTTTTTCACTCATATTTCAAAATACTCCCCATCTTTCGATATGATGTTCCAATTTCAGTAGCAATATCAAGAACAGTACGTCAGCCGACAACGTCCATAAATGCTTTTAATTTGTCTCGTGGGATAAACACTTAAAACAGAGCCCCCCAAAAGCGGCCACACCTTTAATCAACGTCCATGGAAGTTCTGTTTTTCTTAAATTTTTTTATGAACTGGAAAACCAGTAAATAAATGCATTTTCCCCCTGCCTATGTCAATAATATAGGCGTTTAAGATAGAGTGATCCCGGGATTTTCACAAAACTGATGACTTGACCGTAATTTGACGGTGTCAAAATAACTTAAAGATGAACACTAAATCATCAACTGATAAACTAAATATCCTTTAAAATCAGTAAAAGTTTCACACATAGGTTTATAAAAGATCAAACAATCGTAATAATGACATAATTATACCCCCACTTGAAAAGCGGGAGGGTATACTGTAATGAGGATGTGCGTTCGTACGTCTGTCTGTCCGTCCGTCTGTCTGTTACGGTTTTGGGTACCCATCTTTTATCCGCAACTCCTCTCATACCACTGAATGAAATTTTATTAAATCTTTCACAGAATCTGTATTACATATTGCCATTGTGCACCTCCTATTTTACTATTTTATCCGACACATATTGGTTTCTAACAGCAAAACATGGACACTGCCATTTATACACATATGGGAGGCGGGGGTATCATTTAGTGAGCTCATCGCTCACAGTACCTCTAGTTTTCGTTTAAAATACCACATAGGGCGGTTTTATTCTCATTTCACGTATTAAGAATAAAAATCATAATAAACGCGTTTATGTCTCTCCGAATTTCCAAACAACCGTTTATATAGCAACTGTATTAGATATTAAAAGAGTTTTAATACACAGAGGGGGTATATAGTAATAGGTATGTCCGTCCGTCCGTCTGTCTGTCTGTTACGCTTTGGGGTACCCATCTTTTATCCGCAACTCCTCTCATACCACTGAATGAAATTTGATGAAACTTTCACAGAATCTTTATTACATATTAACATTGTGCACCTCTTATTTTACTTTTTGATCCGACACATATTTTGGGAATTTCCCACGGCAAAACATGGACACTGTCATTATACTCATATGGGAGGCGGGGGTATAATTTATTGAGCTCATTACCCACATAACTTCTAGTTTTTATTTAAAATATTCAACAAAAGTCTATATTCTCATTTGAAATTTTCAACCAATTTCAATTGAAAATAAATAAAATATTAAGAAATTCCACGAATTTTCTGGATCAACCCTCGTACATCTCTTTCTCTACCTCTGAATATTATCTCTGAATTTGGCACTTTATTTACAAAAAGAGAGTACATGATATCTATGCATTTATCTATTCGCACAGGCATGTAATGCATAGAATATTGTAATGGTCACTAACTTTAAAATTGGGATTATGATCATTTTGATTTTTTAAAACTAGTTTGACATGATACTCTTTTCAGCTGTTCGAGGTAATGTTACCAAGTTAACTTACGGAGATGGATTGATAGGGGATTTATATGCAGAAAGAATCTATGAAGTGGAAATATCAAAAGTTTATAAAGGCGTAAGTACTTAAGTATACCCCCGCTTGAAAAGTGTGAGGATATATAGTGATCTAGATGTCCGTTTGTCTGTCTGTCTCTACGCCCGTCCGTCCGCCTGTTACGCTTCGGGGTTTCCATCTCTTATCTGCAACTCCTCTTATACTACTAAATGAAATTTAATAAAACTTTAACAATTTTTTTTTTACGAAGTGCATTTTTGCACCTCTTATTTTACTGTTTGATCGGACACACACATTTCGGGTTTTTATAGCAAAACATTAAAATTGCCATTTTTTCTATAATATTGAAGAGTACCCACCTCTTATCCAGAACTCCTCCTATACCAATGAGTAAAATTTAATGATACTTTCACATATTCTTTATTACATAATGCCATTGTGGACCTCCTATTTTATATTTTGATCAGACACTTATTTTGAGTCTTCCAGAACAAAACATGGACTTTGCCATTTCAAACATACGGGAGGCGAGGGTATCATTTAGTGAGGTCATTCCTCACAGTACCTCTAGCTAGTGCTTGATATATTCTAGAGTTAATATTTGAGGTTTTGAGTGTTCTTAACACGCTCTTGTACTTCTCATGGTTCCTTTTGGTTCCTGGTCGAACATAGGGTCTCGGCAGCAATCCTCATTCGCATTCTGTTTTAAGCAGCTTTTTTTTCAATTGTTCCCAGGTATGTCCACGTGTATGTTATATTGTACTAATAAAATGGAGTCATATAGAAAGCCAATTTTCGTTACTTGCTTAAATTGTACAGGTTCATGTGGACGTAATTTCGTGCATTTGATCATAAGTACAAAAGGGGATATGACTAAGATACTTAAGTTAAATACGGAGATGATTTTAATTCATGGATGTGGGTTACAGAAGAAATCTACGAAAATTGAACAACCAGGAAAATTTATGAACCTTTACTGAATAATGTTATAAATATATTAAGTGAATTCTTACAATCATTTTTAAAAATGTTTATTATAAGAATCTAAATGAAGAAAATGGAGGAACAGTGCAAATTCGAACGGCAGGATCTGGTTCTATGTGTGGTGTAGGACTAAGATTAAATAAAGAGTACCTTATCAACGGTAAGACAACCAAATACTTTACAAGATTTTGAAAGTTTACAAGACCTTAAATAATATGATTTTCCTGTGGTTTCAATGTTGTGTAGTAAAATGAGAGAGAGAGAGAGAGAGAGAGATTAGATAGTCAAAATGAAATAGTTATTATTCAGTAAGAGGCGATTGCATTTTACCAACTTTTCATACAAATATTAAAAAACTAAAATATTTAGTACTCGCTTAAGTTTGCATTGGTCTTGAGATTGGCTTTTTTTTATTTTATAATATTTCCCACTGGGTACATATATGAAGGACAAATGGAGATAGGCCTATGTACTCTTATGTACTTTACCCCTGTCGATGGTACAAACAGAGACTTTCCATATACTGATGACGATTGTAAATCAAAGTAAGATTTGCGAATTGATTTGACTAAAAATAAACATAATACACTTGATTACAATGCAGACCTTTCTGACATAAAGTCTATAGTTTTTCAAAATAATTTAGATTTTTAGATTCAGTATGTTTATAATTCTTATCGTGTGTTGAAAACAAACTGTATTAAGGCCGAGATAAACTCAAGGATTGTGTGTTCTTTAGGTAATAGACCTCCTTGTTCGTCAGTTTCTGGCAGTCAAGGTGCCACACTAGAATGTAAATTTAACAGTGATACTGATGTGACTGGGACTGCTAAAACTTTGTTAAAATCAATAAAATCTGCTTTGACCATACAACGATTTTTCCCTTGTATTTTATTTTAGGAATGACTCTAATTCTTGGCCAAATTATTCGATGATAACCTGGTTTGGGGTCAGTTTACGCTTTATAATACGCGAAGCGGATTATAAAAAAGCGTAAACTGACCCAAACCAGGTTATCATCGAATAATTTGGCCAAGAATTAGAGTCATTCCTTATAATTTAATTTTTAAATAATTGAACAACTGTGGGTGTAAAATTGTGGTGCTTTTTATGAGTTCAAATTTGCCGCTCAATAATACATCCCTAGTAACGGAAGTGGTTTGAAACAAGGGACGTAATAACTGATACACAGATCTAGCAGCCATGATGTTTGTTTACATGAGGTAAGAGCGAGCTACTGTTTGAAGTTAAAGGCACATTTATTAAATTTGGATTTTTTTTATGAATCCCATGGACTGGAAATGAGAGCATTGCATGGATACAGATGATTCAGCTGGTTGTCAAGGGGGTGTGTCCCCATACCAAACCAGGTTATCAAGAAATGGTTTGCGTTCCTTTTTGGAAATCAACCAATGAGAGACTAGAATATAAACAAAATTAAATTATTATATATTTTAGCAAGTTACAAGTGAATAATTTATTACAAGGGTGAATCATAACACCCCAAGTCTAGTGAAAAAATTCACAAACAATTCAGTATACATGTATCTGACCGAAGCAAAATTGAGCTTCAAAAGAACTCATTAAAAAAAAATGTTGCACAATATATGGATAAAGGAACAGTAATCAAGGTTACAAATCCTTTGAAACTATTCCATATAGGAGCTGATCGAACACTAGCTGCAGAATTGTACCTCTCCGAAAAAATCCGGTGTGTCAAAATATTTTTTCGGAGAGCTACAGTTCCGCAGCTAAGCAAACAAAATTAAACATCTACAGACATCAAAGGTGGTATCAGATGCCATGGAGGTGTACGCATCCGGTCTGTCAACCGGTCAAACCTGCCGTGACCTGCTTGTTAGGATAGGACAAATAGAAAAATCCATAGACATTTCCAAGTGTAAAATAATGGCCTATATGTAGCAATATGTACTTAAATCGTCAGTCAGATTGTATTTACCTACAATGTCAATGTTTCGATAAGCAAACTTGTTAATATCCTGTTAATATCCTTGTTTCATCAACTTGCTTGTCACTAGTTTAACTTGTTTAAAAAATTGTTCATTTGTAGAATATGCTCTTGAGTATCAAGTCAACTGAGAAACATTAACAACACATGAGGTTGATAAGGTTATATTGCTACATGAGTAAGGAAAGTCATTACGTTAATAATAAAATTTAGTTGTAAGGTTACCACGAACGTGTTTTACTAATAAAATATCCAAATATGAAACGAGACTCTGTGGTTTCTTTTGTATTAAGTTTAAGTAAATGCAATTATCGAATTTTTTTTCTTATACAATATAATGAGTATTATGTTCGTAACATTACCCCGTAACGTCATAGTTTGAAAAGCTGATGCTATTATCATTTAAGAAATGAATGTAATATTTTTTCCTTTGATCGAATCATCAAAGAAAAAAATTTGGACGGAAAACGTCATCAAGGCGCGTATTGGTAATATTCACTAAAATATCATGATATATTTCAATTTCTAAATTTTTTCTCTATGATAACCCTTTGAAAGTAAGCGGAGTTGATTTCCTGATAATTCTGCCGGAATGTAAATTAGGCAGGTCGATAGGTCAGGAGCTAAGGAGGCCTAGTATGCATACAAATCTCGTGCGCATCTGTCTCTGAGTCTGACGCTAAGGAGGTCAAATATGCATGAAAATTTCGTGCGGCTGCCGTTATGTTTGACGTCAGTCGGCGAGGCCTATTGAAATTGGGATTGGAATCCTCGTGTAATTTAAATCTATGTCTGCATTTTTAAAGTCTAAATCTACAATTTTATTTCACAATGAAATGGAAATATAAGGAATCACTGTCTAGTTAGTATAGTATACCAGGGATATCAACAATAGTGGGAAACATGGGATAATTTATGCATAACGGCAAATTATCCCATGTTTCCACTATTGTTGATGCCCTGGCATACTATACTAACTAGACAGTGATTCCTTAAATAAATTCTCAACATAACAGTTTTAAGTCAGGTACAGAACTTTTATTATCATTTGACTTCTATCTAACACTTGGACAACTACTTCATTATGGAAAATAGGTCGCATCTGTTTGTTATACCCGCACTTTCTAAAGAAAGTTCGGGTATATTGTTGTTACTCATGTCTGTCCGTCCGTCCGTCCGTCCGTCTGTCACACTTTTCTTCCCTGAACTCCTCCTACATTTTAGCTTAGTCATCTTTTGGTTGGTGGGGTCATGTAGATGTTCAGTAAGGTTTCAGAATTTTGATTTTGCCCCGGGGGGTCAAATGAGGGTCGAAAAATGACGTTTTTTTTATGTAAAAATCCCCTTCTTCCCTGAACTCCTCTTACATTTTACTCAGCAGCCTAATCATCTTTTGACAGATGGTTATTTGTGTCATGTAGATGTGCAGTAAGGTTTCGGAATTTTGATTTTGCCCCCGGGGGTCAAATGGGGGTCGAAAAGTGAGGTTTTTCATGCAAAAAGCCCCGTCTTCCCTGAACTCCTCCTACATTTTACACAGTAGCTTAATCTTCTTTTAGGAGATGGTTGGTGGGGTCATGTAGATGTTCAGTAAGAGTTTGGAATTTTGATTATGGGCAATGTACACGTGAAATGTGAAAGTCGTATCTCTTCTCAATCAAAAGGAAATACAATATTATTGAAAAGTAAGTTAAACTTCAAGGTCAAGGTCACAGAGTCAAAAAGTCATGATACATTTGGAAAGGTCTTATCACAGGTAATATACATGCATGTATGATATGAATGCCCTTTCATTTATCTTTCAAAATGATCAATTTAAAACAATTAATTTGTTTATGACAGTAGGTCAAACTTCAAGGTCATGGGTAATAAAAATCATAGTGTATTTAGAATGGTATTGTCCCAGTTAAATACTAATACACATGTTTAATATAGAAGTCCTGTCTCTTCTCATTCAAAATATATGACCATGATGACCAAGTTTAAATTTATTGTGACAGATGGACAGGCTGACAAACAAATGAGATTTAATGTCCCCTACCTTTAGCGAAAATGGGGGACAATAAATGTCCTTGCTGTTCTTAAGAAGAAGATTTATGTTGGAAAAAGTCCCCTGCATATTTACATGTACATTGGTTGAAATTGGCCCAGTGGTTCTTAAGAAGTTAAGAATGTGAAAAGTTTGCAGAAAAACAGATGGACGACAGAAAACAGTACATTTCAGAAAACAGCATGCTTGTAAATAGTTAATCAAGGTGCTTTGGGTAGCAAAATAAAGCTAAACTGGTATATCTAATTCATCCGCAGAGCTTAGTATATTTTAATATGCACAACCTTTTCAACTCTTATAATAATTATTTTTAAAATATTTATATCACCATGTCTGATTCAAGGGAGAACTAGAGATATGACCAGAAGTATATCTATTGAAAATAAAATATGTGCATGTATACTGTGTTTTTCTTGGTAATTTGTTTGTTTGTTGTGAAGCAACTGTTATGGCAGCTTTTGGCAAAGGTTGAAGTTTCTCAAATGTAAGTCAAACTCCAAGGTCAAGGTCAAAGGGTCAAAATTGTTGGTATCAAAGGGAAAGTCTTGTCACAAGGAATACACATGTGAAATAAGAGAGAAATCCCTAGTACTTCCTAACCTGTTCAAAAGTTATTGCCAAGGTTAAAATTAAATTGGGTTCAACTCTAGGGTCAAAAATATTTATACCTGTTAAAAGTTCATAATGATTACACATGTTAAGCATGAAAGTCCTAGCACCAACTGTTCAATAACTTAGACCAAGTTTAAGGTATTTTTCTTGTAAAAGTGGGTCAAACTCCAAGGTCAAGAGATCAAGAGGTCAAAATTGGTGGTACCCATTAAAAGGTTTTGCCAAAAGAAATTTACCTATGATATGTGGAAGCCATGTGTATAGCCAAATCCACTTAAAACTTATGGGCAAGGTAAAAGTTTCTGTGGACAAACAAACAGACATAAACACAGGAAACAAAATATGTATATATAGTCAAATGGAAAAATTTCTACTATTATGGAGTCATAAGATCAGGTACAGGGAGTCAGTGCCTAGGGAGATCAGACCCCCCCCCCCCCTGGAATTTGCAGTTATTTAAATAAGACTATTTACTGAAGAGAATAAAAATGACTTTGGACAACCTCCACCTTGAAAACATGGACCCCACCATCATTGTTTTTATTATTATTTTTTTATTTGCTTCTCAGGAAATCTTGGGCTGGATTTTTTTGACTGAGGTGTGACACCCCCCCCCCTTTCCGAAAAAAAAAAATTCTGGATCTGCGCCTGTATATACCGAATGTCCGCAACGGGAGATAAATTGACAATGTGAAATTTGTCGACTGTGGCATGCGATGATCTTTGACCCTTTTTGAACTTCAACCTAACCATTTGCATTTATTTTTTTTTATGCAATCTATACTAAATCTTGTACTTACCGAATGTCATAGGTCTTGTCTACTAATTCATGAAATATAATCCATATAATCCAATTAAAACACAAATTATTTTAACTGACCACACTGCACCGTCAGCATACATGTGCTAAATAATCTCATTCGACAAACCTTTGCTGATTCCGTCGCCTTCATTAGATGAAGTATGAATCGGCCGAGGTGTGCCGAGTGGTGATATCTAAAAATATGATAATGGGTGACGCAAACCCAATGTGAATGTAGAAATTTTCAATAAGATGTTCACACGTAAAACTGTTTAGTACAAGAACAAATTTCAAACTATCATAATAAACGATGTTTTAACATAACTTTACCATCTAGGTCTATTTTTAAAAATGTGAGGGAGAGAGAGAGTGTGTGTGTGTGTGTGTGGCGGTGGGGGAGATAGGCATTGACAAATTAATTGGGTTGTATTTTCAATGGGTTTTTTTTCCTGACCAAATACTAAAACCACTTTGCACATTTTGATAAATTCATCAAAAACGCTTTGTACTAAAATAATAATTTATGTCGTTGAGTAGGTAAATTTAAAAAGTTCCAAATTATGGGCAAAATATTTATCAGAATCTAATTAAGATTAATTAAAGTCTGTTATTTCAGACTGGTAATGAATTAAGTATACAAAATACATATATGAGGCTCATAGATCATATGGTCACCTGAAAATTTTATGCTTAATTTGACGAATACATGTACGGTGATAATTATAGAATTATTTTGACTTTTTCCTTGGAAAGTCCCATATGAATGAGTGTGTATTTAGAGGCAAACACCTTAGTGCGGGTATTACTGTCTCATGACAGCATCTAGTTTTCATTACTATCTTACCAATTCTTGAGGTATTTAGCACTTAAACGATTGATTGACTGATTGGTTGATGTCCCCTCAGTACAAATGTTGTCCTATACTCGGCACTCAGGGCCATTAAGCAAAGGATCCTTTTTCCAGCACCTACTGCGACACGGTACCTCGGTTTATACGGTCTCATCCGAAGGACCGGTTTCCACGTCACAGTGGTAATCAAACCCGCGAGGTAAGGATCAACTCTTTACTTCGCGACTCTACTCACTCTAGAGCAGTCGTTCTAACCAGGGCAATTTAGCCATTTAAAACAATGAATAAATGAAAGACTCAAGTAATCTTCATTGATAAATCTTGACCGAAGTTTGGGATCCAATACTTTTCAGCTAAAGTCAAAGGCAAATCCCACTTTACAGATGTTGATCGCTTAGTTACAAAAACTTGGTCATATATCGTACGCTAATTTATATAGTTCCTCCGGTTTTCTCAGAATCTTATTCAAAAAACACCATGCTTATATTTGCATGTATTTCAGATATTAAATTCCCCCAGATAAACCGATGATTTCTTTCAAAACATTTCCATATGAGAATATTTCAATCAAATAGAGACGTTACATAATTTTATTCCCTATTCTCAAATAAATATTACCATTAAACGATAATTTGTAGATTTGCCTAGCTTTACAAATTGTTAAAATTGCCCTTAGGTATCTATTACAATAAATGGTTATTACTGTAGAATCAATGCAACATCTGGTTTCAGTGAAAAAAAACACTGTAAATTAAATATTTTTACCCATTAAAAATCACGAATTTAACTAAAAAAATAAAATGAAATATAAAGATTAATTTGAATATAAGAGAATTGCTAAGCTATTTGAAATACAATACGGATGATTAATAGCAATTTGACGACAAGAAACATACCTGGAAGTTAAAAAAAACCCTAGAAATAATGTGCGCAATGAGCTCACTAAATGTTACCCACGGTCTCATATGATTAGAATGGCAGTGTTTTGCAATGGGACACCCAAATTATGCGTCGGATAAAAAAGTAAAATAGGAGGTGCACAATGGCAATATGTAATTAAGACTTTATGAAAGTCTTATCTTTCATTCAGCGGTATGAGAGGAGTTGTGGATATGAGATGGGTACCCAAAAGCATAACAGACGGACGAACATTACGAGTACTACATACTCTCCCACTTTTTAAGCGGGCGTATAATGAATAAAAATCTGGATCTAAGGTATTTTTAAAGCAATTGTCCACCCTAAAATTCAACAAATATGGAAACAGGATAAAAATCATGCATGAAAAAATGACAATGAAAGATTGCCCTGACCACGAAAATTCATGCCTAATCAGATTTATTTTTTTGATTTTCTATTATTTATTATGATCAGCCATTTTCTTTATGTAAAAAAGAAAAAGAATTGTATGGAATGGAAAAAACCCTGAAATAAAAATTATTTTTTTATGTTCATGGGTGTAACATGTGTTGAATTGCTAGATAACTACTGCAATCAAACACTTGATTTTCTGTCATATATAAATTATTAGAGGAATTGGTTGAATATAGTTCTAAACTGAATGACGCCAACGGCAGTTTTCCTGTCATATAAAATGGATAAACCATACAGGAGTAACATTGTTACAGCGGATGAAGAAAACCTGTGTACCATCCAACTATAAAATGAAGACAATGGCGGTAACATTTTTTATTACACTTTCAACTGTGCATACATAATTAAAAAAATAGTTTTATATTTTAAATTAAAGAACAAGCACAGTTCTAGTATATTTTGACCCGTTTTAGGTCTTAGCTCTGGTGTTGATTGCTTTCTTGGTTCAGTTGTCTGGAGTTAACGGATGTAGTTGTGTATCTTCTGATCCTCAAACTCAATACTGCAATTCTGAGTATGGTAAGTACATCTCTCTCTCTCTCTCTCTGAATATTATCCCTGAATTTTGCACTTAATTAACAAAAAAGAGAGAATATGATATTAATGGATTTATCTATTCGAACAGACATGTCATGCATTAACAAGTGTAATGGTTACTATCTTAGAAATTGGGATTGTGATCATTTTGTTCATTTTGCTAAGTTTAAGTTTGACATCCTTTTTTCAGCTGTTCGGGGTAAAGTTACCAAACTAACTTATGGAGATGGATTTATAGGGGTAGATGCAGAAAGAATCTATGAGGTGGAAATATCGAAAGTTTATATAGGCGTAAGTAGTTCCCTTTAACCCAGCATGAAAAGTGGGAGGGTATATAGTGATCGGGATGTCCCTCCGTCTGTCTGTCTGTCTGTACGTCCGTCCGTCTGTTACGCTTTAGGGTTTCCATTTCTAATCCGCAACTCCTCTTATACCACTAAATGTAATTTAATAAAACTTTCAGAGATATTTTATTACAGTGTCATTGTGCACCTTCTATTTTACTCTTTAATCGGAGGCATATTTTGGGTTTCGTATTGCAAATTTTGACACTGCTATTTTGTCTATAATAATGAAGGGTACCCATCTCTTTTCCGCAACTTCTCCTACACCGCTGAGTAAAACTTTCTTTAAAACATAATGCCATTGTACATCTCCAATTTTTCTTTTTGATCTGACACTTATTTCGAGACTTCCAGATAAAAACATGGACTTCGCCATTATAATCATACGGGAGGCACCATTTAGTGAGCTCATAGTACCTCTACTTAGTGCTTAATATATAGTAGAGTAAATATTTGATGTCTTGAATGTTCTTAATGCGCTCTATAATACTTAAATACTGTGGAATCATACAAATTCATGAAGGCCAATTTCCGTTACTTAAATTGCTTAAATTGCACAGGTTAATTTCATGCATTTGCTAATACGTACAAAACGAGATATGACTAAGAAACCGAAGTTTATTAATTCGTAGATAAATTTAAATTCGTGGATGTAGGGTACCAACGAAATCCACGAAAATTAAACTTGTACGAAAATTTATGATTACATACTTTATATTGTGAAGAGTTTATTAAGTGAATTCTTATCATCTTTTTCAAATGTTTATTAAAAGAATATAAATGAAGAAAAGGGAGGAACAGTGCAAATTCGAACGGCAGGATCTGGTTCTATGTGTGGTGTAGGACTAAGATTAAATAAAGAGTACCTTATCAACGGTAAGACAACCAAATACCTTACAAGATTTTGATAGTTAATGACTTTAAATGACTTCAAATTTTCCTGTGGTTTCAATGTTGTGTAGTACGAGAGAGAGAGAGAGAGAGAGAGAGAGAGAGAGAGAGAGAGAGAGAGAGAGAGAGAGAGAGAGAGAGAGAGAGAGCTATGTTCATGTAGTCAAAATAAAATATAATGTATAATCAGCGACAAGCGATTTGTGCATTTTACCCCTTTTTCCTGCATATATTATAAAACAAATATTCAAAGAATTTTATTTTACCCACACGCCTTGGTAAATATAGCAGGCATGTCAACAATAAGTAATGACGCAGAGAGTTACATTTTCGAAATTTATTTATTTATTAGATCTTTCCACTTTTTTGTGGCAAGACCCATTGAAGTTCTTCTGATTATTTTTCCCTCAAGTGTGTTTTTTGAGTTTGAAGACTTATAGATAAAAGTTATGCTTAATGACCTTGTAATCATTAAAATTAGGGATGTCAACGAATATTCGAGTACTCGACTATCGTTCGATCATACCGACTATCGACTAAAATTTCTTTAGTCGGTTATTCGTTAAAAATGTGTTTCATCAAAGTAATTTTGAATTCTGCAGTGTAACATCAAACATGGTGTATCATATGCCGAATCAGTCAAACATACATGTATACACAGTCTTTAAATGAATCTTTCCTAAAGTAAGTTCTTCGCAAAAAATGACCAAAAAAATAAAAAACGGATTGGAAAAGAAAATCAAACATGTTTGTTAATGATTGTCTACCTCTTACTATTTTAAACGGAGAGGGCAATTGTTTAGTTTTGTAAATTCAAACTAAAATCTGACGTGATACAACTATTCAGAAAAAGTATTAATTAAAAAACTATTACAAAATCGTAAATACATATAAATTGGGGTCAGTTATGAGAGTGATTAAACCTTGTTTTCTTTTTCTGATATTAATTTCAAACAATTATTGATTGTTTGCACAAAATTTCATTAAATCTTATCCCAAGCTCTCGCTCTGTCTTTGTTTTTATAAGAGACACGCTTTAATTGTTTACCTAGCTGTCAAAGATCATTGACGGACACGTAGATATTGGCTTCAATTATGGGGTACTCTACTACCGTTATGTAAAGAAAGGCCAAATACGAGCGTTTGATATCCTGCATTTAGATAAAATGTGCAGCTAATATATAAATTTTGAAATCCAATACATTGGATACATATTACTGAACAGTTTTTATTTTACTAAGTATATGTTTACAATTCAGAAATTCGTTGTATAATGGTGATAGCGAAGTATATTGTAAACTAGTCTGTAAGAGACAATTAGTGAAAATGATATGAAAAAAAAATAAAATTAAACGAGTATTCGACTATCGTTCGACTAAAGCATCCGACTATTCGACAAAGCTGTCCGAGTAAAATTGACATCCCTAATTAAAATATATCTGCACTTGACCTTGCGTATGTGAACGTTGACCCCTCAAGGAGTTATTACCCCTTTTGCAATAACTTGTTATCGCTACTCCTCCGAAACCGTAAACCGTTTAGGTACTCATACTTCATTAAAGTCTTTGACTATCGGTAATTCAGTGAACCCGCTGACTGTTTGAGTGCAAAAGGATTTATCAACCCCATAAAGTAGTTATATTGTCCCTGAATTTTTTATTTGAAGTTTACGAGAAATAAAACATTTTCAAACGATAATCATGGAGAAATAACACAACGGCATTAGATTTTTCTTACCTTAGACTTTGAAGTTTATATCAAGATCAAGGGTTAAGATCATTGCTAGTATGAGGAAATAACCTTTTTTATAGCTCAATTGTCTTTCAGCATATAATATATATCTTTGCAACTTTAATTTCTCTTCAATTCATCTTTTTCAAATATTTCATACTCATCCCATTAAATTGACCTTTTTAAAAAGTTTTCAAAAGTTAGTGTCCCTTTTACTAGAAACCTTGTTATCACTTCTACACCAAAACCATACATGTACGTAACCCACAGAGACGCCCAACCTTCACAACTGTCTTTAGGGTCCTAACACACAACTTCTATTTATTCAGTGTGAAAGGATCTGATGACCCTTTTATGAATTATTGCCCTTTTACAATTTTGCACTTACAATGTACTATAAAACTTCTTACTTACAAACTAAAAGTCGTATAATAATGGTATCAATTGCAATGTGATCCTTAACCATGATATTTTATTCCAGGTCAAATGTCAAGGTCATTTTCATTTTTTTTTAAATTTGGTATTTCCATCCATTTCTGGTCTTTTCCATGAAATTTAATTTTTAAAGAGTTTAATATCAAACGAAATTGAAATTATAAGACGGTGGGTAGAACTTAGTCTGCTTAGTATATTTTAGTCTATTATATTGTTTATAAGAGTAAAACATTAAAACAAGATTATTAATTTTTCAGTTTTGCTTATTTCTGCCTTGCTCATGAGATACGTGTTTTTCCATAGGTTATTTTTATAAAGGACAAATGAGGATTAGCCTGTGTGGCATGATGTTCTTTTCCCCTGTCGATGGCACAAATGCAAATTTCCCTACAATTTCTGACGAGGATTGTAAATGCAAAGTAAGACTTGAATCATCGTCGCAAACGACAGTCAAAATGTTCGCTCCTCTCCCATAGAGAGAGTTATTTGCGGACTCGGGACCGTGGCTTGAGTCGATCAACTGGCATATTCATTTAACTAAAATAAAATGCACATGATTCTAATGTTAGACTTTCTGATAAAAAGTGTATTTTTTTAAAAAGAAAAGATATTTTCAGTTTTCAGAATCAGAGTGTTAACATATTGTAGATTGAAAATATACTGGTACCCGTAGGCGTACAGAAACCCAAGATGGTGTGTGGTGTAGGAAATAGGGTCCGTTGTTCGTCAGATTCTGGCAGCCCAGGTGACCTGGCGGAATGTAAATATAGCAGCGATAAGGATGATTGTGATTGGGACTGCTAAAAATCAAGTACAGTTCAATAAAATCTAAATTGACCATTCCATGATCTTTTTCTTTTAAATATGTATTTTACCGAATTACAATATATAACACAAGTGTAAAATTTTACACTATCAAAACTAATTTACACTACTTTTTAGGATTTATTTGCTGTACAGTACTCCAGATGTTAATTTCTCCTTTACTGCTTTTAATATTTTAAAAGCAACCTTTCGAAAGACCTTGTTTAAGACTATAAAATAAAACAAAAATGATATTGACAATTGCAAAGAATGAAAATTGCTGTTTAAGGATAGATGATGCAATGCAAGGATTTTGTAAAAATAACAATTATACTCTTGTTCAAAGAAGGAAAATGATAAAGTTAAACGTCATAGTTTTTTCCTTTTTTATTCATAGTTTCAGAAAAAACTCGGATTTAGGTTGACGAAAAGTTGTATAGAATACATATGTAAATAGAAAGGTTGAATTTGATCATCATAGAAAATTTACAAATTCTTTATCTTTTGGAAATTATTTATTCGTAACAGTTCCCAAAATATATATAAACAATTCAGACACCCAATTAATTTTTATTTGTGTTATCTGTCCTTAAATATTTCAATCTCAAGGTCCGTTTGAAAACTGACTCCATTAAATAATGGTTTATGAATCACACAGAACTATACGTATGTCACACAGTATGATACTCTAAATCATGAAAATGCATAAACCTTGAGAGAGGTTAGATTGACAAACATAATAATTTGTTTTCCATTATGTTCGATCTATGAGCTCGTTAATGTGATAGATCTGAAGGTAATTCCCACTGCCTACGTACAGGTGCCGGTGGCATTTAAGGACAAGCTGTGGCATGGATCCGTTCATACCTCCCCGATAGACAGGAATGCGTAATCATTGACTCGGAGATGTCAGCCCTATACAGTTTTCCATTTAATGTCACATAACCTACTTGCGAGACCAGTTGGAGAAACAGATGTTCTATAAATCACTGTTTCATCGGTAATAGAAAGGTGAAAGTATAATCATATGATTATTAAATCTTAAGGGAGATATATCAGTTATTTCAAAAAGGCTTTTGGGCATTTAGAAATTTATAATTTCCAAAAACTTAGTTATACATATTTAATTAAATTTTATAATAATTCTCGACTTGCAACTGTAAGTCAGATACAGTGCGTGTATCAACATCATCAGTACCACATCTGTCAAACATTTAAAAAGTGTACCTTGAGAAGTACTTTACAATGGAAAAGAACGTCACAAAAAACTGTGTCATAATTATCATTTTACCAATTTTGGAGGTATTTAGCACTTAAAAAAGAACGAATGCATAATTCATTAGATGGTTAATCCTGACTTAAGGGGGCCGACTATAGTTTCCATTGCGCAATATTTCGCGCATCATAGTAAAATGAAGCGTATTTATTGTTTTAATGCAATTTTTATCGCTTAATTATTAAAATTAAACAAAATTAAGAAATTTTAGGTATAAAAATGTAATTTCAATTTGATATAATTGATTTTTTAACCGATTTTGTAATTGATAGGTAGGTTGACGTCGTTGCAGTGTGTATTTGACGTTATGATAATCTGTAGCTCTTAAAGAAAGGGGTAATAAAAATATTATTAAAGAAAAAGTAATAAACATACGCTCTTGAAATTTAAAACATAGAAATTTGAGAATATCTCCAATATTTGTATTATGTTTTCATGTGAATCCATTGTGTGCATCATATTTTGTAATACTCTATAAAAATAGTAAAATTTGCTAATTTTTTTGCATTTTGAGATGCCCATTCTGGTAACAAGACGGTAGAATTTTGCGTTTCTTACATATATTGTATATTATAGTATTACTCATCAAATATTATAGTTTGAACAAAATGTCTATTGTAGTATTTGTAAAATTTGCTTTAAAGTGCTAAAAATTTGGCGTTTTCCTATATAATCCTATAGTAAATCTACCTGTATTTTGAGACGGTCCCTCAAAAATACCTGGACGGTAGATTTCCCCCAAACTTTGCATGTACACTGAAGTTAATGCAAGTTATATATGGTATAAAAATGAAGAGTTTCGCTATTGTAGTTTTCACACAATAAAACTATAGTCGGCCCCCTTAATTACTGGATCCTTTACTTAAATTCTCAGTTTATATCAAATCCTAATCTACAGATGGTGGTCGCCTATTTACAATAACTTCGTGGTCTTATACTTTAAGAGTCTCTCTTGATTTCTGCAGAATTTCACTTAAAATACAGGTGTAAATCCTTTCAATATATTAACAATTATTAATTGACAATTATCTGTAGTTCTTGTTGAAATAATGAAAATAAAGTTTTATATGATATCCAAAAATAATGACTAAAGGACTCTTAATGTTTTGTGTGATTATTGTGAAATGTTTTTGGCAATTTATATTACACAAAACATGAACGATGATTGAACAGGAAATAAACTGAAGAGGTGGAATTGTTTACAAATATGCCCCTGGTTTCTTTTCACATATTTCCTTTTAAGTTCAGCTTTCATTCCTTGAATGAAACACTCGTCTGATAACATTGAACTTGTTTTTTTTTTGCCAAATAACACAAGACATATTTGTTCCAAAAATATGTCATTTATTATGAAATGACTACATATAATATAATAAATAAAACTGAATAAAAAAGGACTGGGAGACAATGTAACCTTAAAACACAATTCCTGAGAAAAATTATTAAACAATTACGCAATAATAATTGGTCTCACAGTATGTGACTATAACAAAACATATATAATTCAAATTATATATGTTATGTAATAGTCACCAAATTATGACCTTATACATATGAATTGGCTCAAGATTCCATTATTTGGCCTAAATAGGATATGACCACACAATATAATATACATATAAAAAGGAATTAAATTACAAGGAAAACATAGACATATGAGTTTGAGGTGGCGTAATGTACAGTAAAGGTCTGTTCGGGGATGGAGGTGGGTAATCCAAAAAATATTTCAGCAAATGTTTGGCCGTCTTGTCTTTACAATAGCAGTAGATATAAAGATGCTAGATCACTTATCTCAAAGGGATAAAATTACCGGGGGGTCCCCACGGGTTTACAGATAATGAGGCACAAAGTGGGGAATTACAGTTTAACATATAATACATGAAACTTAACTTCAAATAGTTTTACTAGCATAAAATATCATTTTAAGTTCAGCTTTCATTCCTTGAATTAAACACTCGTCTGACAATATTGAGCTTGTTTTTTGCCAAATAACACAAGACGAGTTTGTTCCAAAAATATGTCATCTATTATGAAATGAAAACATATAATATAATACATAAAACTTAATAAAAAAGACTGGTAGACAATGTAACCTTAAAACACAATTCCTGAGAAAAATTATTCAACAATTATGCAATAACAATTGGTCTCCCAGTATGTGACTATTACATAACATATATAGGCAAAATAGGTGGCCTCCAAAATATGGCCAAAAAAGGAAAGGCTTTAAACATTTCCTTGCGCCATCCGAAATGTAGTTAGAAAATTCATTATCATTGCTTTATTCAAACAAACTAATTTAGATTCAGTATAAACTTATTGATAATAGCATGATACCGGCAATGTATATAAGACTCATATGAGTAAACCTAGGTGCAGCCCACTGGGGAAATTTTTTAAAGAAGAGCTATTTTAAGTAAAAACGTTATCAACAATCCCAAGCAAATAAACACTAATAAATCCAAAAATTTTCAGAATTGAAAAATAAATGTACATCTTGGTATTCACATGATTATCCAACACAGTCAAAGCAATGCATTCTTCACAATGAAATTCAATGCAACCATATTTAAACCATCGACTACATGACTAATACAACTAAAAGCTGACCATTAGTCGAATACAGAAAGAATCGCTTAGTAATTTTGGTGCAACAAAACGCTGGCCACCAAGTTAGTGTCTAAAAAAACCCCCAAAGTATGGGCAGTGGGGCAACATGCTTCAAAGTAATGATATGTTAACCATTGATTACATGACTAATGCAACCAAAAAAGCTGACCATTAGTCAATTACTGAAAATACGCATAGCAATTCTGGTGCAACAAAACGCTGGCCACCAGGTTAATGTCCAAAAAACACAAAAGATATGAGCAGTGCAACAATTTTGCTGACCACTGACCTTTGCTATGCAACTCAGAGGGTAGGGAAATTTACTATATGGAAAATGATTGAATACGGATGTAACGCTGAAAGGCATCGGACTCCCACCTACCTAACTTTTTAATTGTTTCCTCAGGAACTCTCCTTTGTGCCGCTTCTGTGGCAGCCCCAATACGGAAACTATGATCCTTATAGAGTTTAGGAATTCAACCAGTGAAGGATGTGGCAGTATTTAAGTGAGAAGTGACGGACTGATATGTCACTGGCATGGATGATTTAAACTGAAAAAGGGGACCCTGTTGGTTTGGAAACTCTGTTAGATAAGCCTTGAGGTTTGCTACTGGACAAAAGGAAGGCTCAGGTAATGCTGTTAATTGGATGGTTGTAGGCGAGCTAGTTTGTTTAGTTTTGAAATTTTTGAGTCTAAAGACAACTGAGTGGGACTCGTTAAAATGAACATCAGAACGCTGAACCACAGTATTGTAAGTAACCTTAGATTTCACTATCAACTCCCCTAAACGCAAGAAGGCATGGGAAGTAAGAATAATGCTTTCAATAGTTGTCTTAGATCATATTGTGGGACTGTCTTATCCAAAGCATTGATAATTTTGAATAAAATTGACTGGGTAATAGGCAGGCGTGTATCTGCAGAAGTACCAGATGAATGGTCACCTTTGAGCAGTTTTTCAGTAAGAAATGACTGACAGGGACCACCCCTTCCCATGAGTTTGTGTACAAAACTAATAGCAGAGCAGTGAGATGCTTTTGTTGATGGACTGTATTTTTGGTTGAACAAGTGACTAATGAAATTGGCAATAAGTACATTGGGTACTGGAAAATGGAATTTGACCTGATTTTCTAAGCAAAACTTCATTAAGTTCTC